AAGTGTTTGTTGTTATAGTGCAATTTGGTACCTTGGGCTCAAGGATGGGCTGCACTATGACGTGGGCAACCAGCAAACAACCAGTGCAAAGCAAAGAAGAAGAAGAAAAAAAAAGAGGTGAGAAAAATCGAGCCAGTGTTCATACACCTTAATACGAAATCAAAGGACGCGCGAGCCTCATCACGCATCAAGAGACCCATTAAGGACCAGGAGGACCCAAGAAACAACATGGAGGGTTGTGCACTGTGTGGTTGATAACACACACGTCTTAAAAACAAAGAGAGAGAGAGAGAGAGAGAGAGAGAGAGAGAGAGAGAGAGAGAGAGAGAGAGAGAGAGAGAGAAGAGGGCGAGAGAGCAAGAGAAAAAGCGTTGTCTCCCTCTCTTGTTTTTTCTCGCGCACCACATTGCATAGAACATTTGGCTCCTGAACCGCACCCCACTAGGTGCAAGCCGAGCCGTGCAATGCAAAAAAAAAAAAAAAAAAAAAAAAAAAAACTCAAGGTAGGAATCATGAACCGCAACTCGCCCACGTGCGTGGATACGTGCGAGTGTACACGGGGCAAGTCTTTCAAACCCACCACGAAGGCCAGACCACACGACGGTCGGTCTCGAGGCAGTTCACGGAGCACAAGGGCATGTCACGCCCATAAAGGTAGAGAGAAAGAGAGAGTGAGAAAGAGAGAGAGAGAGAGAGAGAGAGAGAGAGAGAGAGAGACACACACACACTCACATGCACACACATACACACGCACATGCACACCCACCCACACACCCGTACACATACACATACTCTCACATGCACATATACACACATACACACACACAGGCACACACACACCAACACACATAACACAAGGCATACGCACATCTACACACGTGGTTGCACTCGTGCAAAGGCACGACGCCCAAGAGCGCGGTCCGCTGTTACTCAACTGCTCATGCACGCGCTAATGTTGTGGGATAGCCGATTGTGCATGAAAACCCCATGCAGAAATTGACAACCGTTGGATCGGGACGACGCTCTCAACATATGAATACGCGATAACCGACAAGACAGTGTTTATAATGCGAGGACGGCTCCACCATGCACTACACTGGTGGCGCTCCTGGTGCGATAGTAGCCTCATCCTGTCTATTATCTCACACGGATATTGGTTCCCATGGAAGGATGGGGCCCCGACACCTTTCGAAAGGAAAAACCACGCAGGTGCCCAGACGCATTCGGATTTCACACGCGATGCCATTCAGGACCTCCTGCGAACAGGAGCAGCGGCAAAATCTCCTGACCGATCAACACTACTATGCATTAGCCCACTCAACATGGTTGAACAACAAGAAAAATGTCGGCTCATCCTCGACCTGCGGAAGGTCAACGAGCACTTGTGCATTCCGATATTCAAGTACGAAGGCCTCGCCCGGGTAGCGGAGTTGATCCAACCGAACGATTGGATGCTATCGGTTGATCTCAAGTCAGGGTATCATCACGTGGACATCCATCCCACCTGCTGGAAGTACTTAGGATTCCAGTTAGAAGGCAACTACTACTTCTTCCAATCCCTGCCATTCGGTCTGGCCACGGCCCCTTTCATCTTCACGCAGCTCATCAAACAGCTGGCCCGACGATGGCGATCTCTCGGGTGGCGGGTTATCCCGTATGTGGATGATATACTGATCCTGGCAGAGACCGCACAACAAGCGGGAGCTGCATGCGCACAGATCGTAAGGGACCTGAGGGACGCCGGCATTGTAATCAACGAGAAAAAGTCGTGTTTGGTCCCCACACAGGAGCTTCGCTTCCTCGGACTCGAGTTGAACACACAAGTCGGCAAATTCTCGGTCGGAGAAGAACGGCGCTCCCTGTTACGAGCTACAATCACAAGTCTCATCGATTCCGGACGCGCTGGTCACCACGTGAACGTTCGTCAAATCGCTCGAGTGACTGGAATGCTTGCTTCCATGAGCCTCGCTTTGGGCGCAACCGCGCGAGCCTTCAGCCACGAGCTATTGCAACTTATCAACAACGCGCCCTCATGGCACTCGAAGGTGTCGTTGTCAACTGAGGCCATCCACGAACTGCACTTCTGGGTGGAACAGTTCCACCGTTTCAACGGTGCACCATTCCATCATCCGCATCACTACGACGCCATCATCCAGGTGGATGCCAGCGCGCACAGCTGGGGTGCTACCCTCTCTACTTTTCATGGAACACCGAGCAACGCAAGCGCTGGCATGCCCGACAACCTATGGCCAACCTCAAGTATGCGACGCGAGTTGGAAGGCGTGCTCTGGGCGCTACGCACCTTCATGGACCGTCTTCGACACGGCCACACGTTGGTTCGCGTGGACAACCAAGGGGTCATGTTCATTCTACGAAAAGGCGGCTCGCGCAATAATGAGCTCACACTCACTTGCAAAGAGATCATCACTCTATGCACGGACAACGCGGTGCGACTAGCCATCGAATGGATTCCCAGAGATCAGAACACTTGCGCGGACGAGCTCTCAAAGCTTCAAGACCACGATGACTACACGTTGAAACAACCTTGGTTTCGTCTCTTGGACCGTCGGTGGGGGCCTCACTCTGTCGACCTGTTCGCAAATGCACAGAACGCATTGCTGCCTCGTTTCTTCTCTAAAGTCCCTCACCCGCGAGCCGAGGCCATCAACACATTCTCCAAGGACTGGCACGGGGAACGGGGCTTCGCATTTCCGCCCCCCCACCTCGTCCCTGCAACTCTCCATCACGCGCGTTGCACACGGGCAAAGCTAACCCTGGTGATCCCTGAGTGGTCAGGGGCAGCCTGGTGGCCCCTAGTGCAACCGGCCCCTCAAACATGGGCCATAGGAATTACTAGCCACCTTCGCCTCGCAAGCGGGAGTCAGTGCCTCCAACCGGGCACACACACTGCCGCATTCTCAGGCACTGGATTTCCCAATAGCCCGATTATTGCATTGTCCATTGACTTTACAATGTAACTCATATATATTCCATGTATGGCAGATATATTATCCAACCTTCAAAAGCAACTCCTCTAGGTAATCAGCCAAGTACGAGCTCCTTCAACAATCCGCACCTACGACCCCTACTGGGGAAATTCCGATCATTCTGTAACAAGCTATCACTGAGCTACCTACCCGCCTCAGACTTGACACTCGCGCTGTACCTGGTATACGCCCTCAACAAGCACACCACCCTGTCCGCCATCACGCTGACCTGTTCGGCAGTCGCATTCGCATACAAGATGACTGGCCTTACTTGTCCCACGAACGGCCCCTTCACTTCCCAGGTCCGAGAATTCGCCAAGCGCCACTCCCCGCGCCCAAACAGGACTAAAGAACCCGTGTCTCTTCACCAGGTTCACCAGATGACACACGAGTTCATCGCATCCGACACCCCCTCCGTATTCCAGAAAGGCCTCATCCCACTGCTCATGTACACGGGCTTTCTCCGCTTCTCGGACCTCGTCGCAATTCAGTGGCAAGACATCCAGTTCGAGGAAGCGGCGATGTGGCTATTGATTCCCCACTCCAAAACGGACCAAGAAGGCAAGGGAATATGGGTCCCAATCGCGACTACACCCGGACCATATTGCCCGGTAAAGATCACCAGACAGTTCATCTCGCTTGCCGGCTATGACGCCTCGACCAAAGGACCACTGATACGTGTGTTCACACGTGACTCCAAAGCAACTCCGCGCGACCAGGCGCCTTCGTACCCAACTGTTCGCAATTGGTGCTTGGAAGCATTCAAAAAGGTTGGCCTCAACGCCAACCACCTTGGCACGCACTCCTTCCGCAAAGGAGCAGCAACGACGGCGGCAGGCATCGGAGACTCAGATAGGATGTTCAAGCGGTTGGGCCGTTGGCGCAGCGACAACGCAAAAGACCTCTACGTCACCATCGCCCACGACCAGCTTGTGGCCGCCTCCCAGCTGATTCAGGATCCTACACTGGCTCCCTCCCCGAACCAGCACCAATTGTCTATCTAGCGGCATCGCCGACCGACCACTCGCTTGTCTCAGAAGGCCCATATGAAATGAAGCACGATCCTTTACAAGTTGCAGAAGCAAACTTTCACAATATGTAAAATTTTAAAAGTGTGTAACACTTTTTAAAATTGTGTATTGTGAAAGTGTAGCGATTGCCAACGCAGCAAAGGCAGCGTCGCATCGCTACTCGCCCTCTTTTGGCTACAAAAAGAGGGGGTTGAGGCCATTCGGCCCCACCCACGTTCTTCTTTTCAGTTTCGAAGTTTGAGTTTCCCACCCACCCACCCAGGTAGTAATTGTCTCTAAGATTCTTGCTGTACTCGTAGTTATCATTGGACGAGATTGATGTACTCATACCCATATGAAATGAAGCACGATGCCCCATATGAAATGAAGCACGATGCCCCATATGAAACGAAGCACGATGCCTTTACAAGTTGCAGAAAGCAAGCTTTCACAATGGCATTCCTGTATGCTGCAGGAGCCGACTCTACCGAATACGAAGTCGAGGAGTCAGAAGAGTCGAAGCGACGAGGCAACCGCCTGACCAAGACCGATGCAGGCAGAAACATTTGAAGTGAAAAGAGCGGGAACAGGTTCAAAACGGGTTCCCGCGCCGCACGGTTTGAAACTGCTGTAATAAGGGAATGTACCCCTTAGAGTACATGGCTAGCCTAGGTCTTTTCGCATTCCCCTGTAATCTTATATAAACCCAATGTATGCATGCTTCTATCAACTCAGTCATTTACATTCACTCGGACCTGAGATTCAAACTTCCGCTGCAACACTACTCTGCGATCAACCCTGAGCGATCCTCCGCTAAGTCCCACTTGGGATTGTAACAAAGCATATGACTGCCAGTCGATTAGAGGGTACACATTCGTACAATGGATATGGTTTCATCATTCCATATTCCATTGCAGCCCACATACATCCATCGCACCAAGGATATCATCTGGCAATGGAGCCGTAAACGCAACTGGTAACTTCGTAACTGGATGTTCGAACGTCAACGTGTGTGCATGTAACGCTTGCCTGTGTAACACTCCAACCTTCTCAATCTCCCCACTCCAACCCAGCCTAACCCTCCACACCGCAAAAGTTTCCACAACCCTTCTCACACCCAATTCACCCTCCTTTGCAGTGTTGCCTTGTTCGTTCTGCCAATCTTCATCCTCGCTATACTGCTCCTCACTTAGACAAGAGAGTCCTTCAGTTTGTTCAGAGTGCGTCTCCTCGAGTTGACTGTAGCACTCCCTACAGTGCTCACCCCACATGAGAGGCAGGGCGCCATAGATATGATCTGCTAGCACAGGCAGCTTGGCATGCTGCAGATGCACTCTGATCTGGTGTGTTCTTCCTGTTACTGGAACAGCTTGTAAGAGGGATACCCTGGTTAAAAGAGGGAGGGGTGTGGGGGGGGAGAGGGGGGAGAGAGAAAGGTGCCGAAATAGGCCTTGTACAATTGAGCACGAGTGGGTTTGGAGGTGAAGGTGGTTCGGGTTGGGTTGGGTTGGGGGTAGGGGTGAGAGTGGCAGGGCGCCGTAGATATGGTCAGCGAGAACAGGCAGCTTTGCATGCTGCAGATGCACTCTGATCTGGTGCGTTCTTCCTGTTATTGGAACAGCTTGTAAGAAGGATACCCTGATTGGGGGAGGAGAGATAATGGTACTGGGATTAAGCGTGTGTGTCTGAGCGCAATTGAGGTGTAACGGTGTTGCAAGGAAATGCTAAGGGGTGCAAGGAAATGCAGAGGGGCGCAAGGATATGCAGAGGGGTGCAAGGCAATGCAGAGCGGCTCAGCACACAAAGGTCATACCCAGAGGCTTCACTTCTTGCAAGCACACGAAACTCTGTCACTGCTGCCTGTGTTTTGCTCTCCCTCACCTTCATCTCACTCTCTCCCACACTCTCCCCCACACAATGGAGAGGGGTGCAAGGGAATGCAGATTGAGGTGGAGAGAGATGCAGAGTGGTGGAAGGGTCGTACCCGGAGGCTTCACTTCTTGCAAGCACACGAAAATCGGTCAATGCTGCCTGTATCTTGCTCTCCTTCACCTTCATCTCACTCTCTCCCATCCCTTCTCCCTGCTCCTCTGTAACCCCCTCTCCCCTCCTCTCTCCAACTCCAACCTCCTCCACCATTCCCTCTCCCTTCCTCTCTCCAGCCTCCTCTGTCCCAAGCTCTCTCCTCCCATCTCCAGCCTCCTCTCCCACAACCATGCGTGCAAACTCATGGTCAGGGTCGCGTGCAATGGAAGCATCAACTGTGAACGAATCCGAAGGAGGCAGCCCCACCACCAGCACCAGATACTGCTTCGCCACCTGGGAGGGGAAAGAGGGGCAGGAAGGAGGCGAGTCGTGGTCATGGTCCCGTTCAATGGGGGCATCGATAGTGAAAGAGTCCAGAGGAGGCAGCCCCACCACCAGCACCAGATATTGCTTTGCCACCTGGGAGGGAGGGGGACCAACAAGACAGAGGGCAGCAGATAAGTCATGGTGGGAAAGGGCCTCGTGCAATGGGGGCATCACTAACGAACGAGGTCGAGGGAGGCAGCCCCACCACGAGCACCAGATACTGCTTCGCCACCTGGGAAGGAGGGGCAGGCAAGGGATTAGAGAACGGAGGAAACGTAAGCAATGGGGGCATAGTTCTAAGCACGACCGATAGGAGTCACGATAGTTCGATGCGGCCAATAGAGCACCACGCATGTAGGCGCCATGGTTTCAAATTTCAATACTAGGTAACCATCGCACCACACTAACCGATAATCTCGGCTAAAGAGCCTTCTTCAGACCTGCTCGTTGCCCCACCTGCTCTGACTTTTGAGGCGCCTCAGAAATCGCACCACACTAACCAATAATTTTGGCTTAGGAGCCTTCTTCAGGCCTGCTCTGCCGCGCCTCATCTTCCCCACCCCCTGCCTCACCCCCACAGGCAACCATTCCCCCCCACCTCACCTGGTCTTTGGCGCGGAAGTCCTGGTGGAGAGCCTGGGTCTTGGCGAAGCAGATGCCTCTGCTGCCATCCCCACCCTCCCCTCACCTGGTCATTGGTCCAAAACGCCTGGTGGAGAGCCTGGGAGATGGGGCGTGACTTGGCAGAACAAATCAGTCAACATCCCCACCTGCTTCCCCCCGCCACCTTCATTCAACCCACCCCCACCTCATCGCCTCCCAACCTCACCAGGTCCTTGGTTCGGAACGCCTGGTGGAGAGCCTGGGAGATAGGGCGAGTCTTGGCGAAACAGATGACACCACTCGTGTACATGTCCAGGCGGTGCACTGTGAATGGATCAGCCTGTAGGTAGTGCGCCTGTGAAGGGGTTGACACAGGGGTAAGGGAGTGGGTGTGTCTGTGGTGTCTGTGGGTGCGCCTGTGGTTGGGTGGGAGGGGGGTGTGTGAGACGTAAGAAGAAACCTTCTTAGGGGGCGAACCTTGTATGGGGGCGAACCTAGTATGGGGGCGAACCTAGTATGGGGGCGAACCTAGTATGGGGGCGAACCTAGTATGGGGGCGAACCTAGTATGGGGGCGAACCTAGTATGGGGGCGAACCTAGTATGGGGGCGAACCTAGTATGGGGGCGAACCTAGTATGGGGGCGAACCTAGTATGGGGGCGAACCTTGTATGGGGGCGAACCTAGTATGGGGGCGAACCTAGTATGGGGGCGAAGCTAGTATGGGGGCGAACCTAGTATGGGGGCGAACCTAGTATGGGGGCGAACCTTGTATGGGGGCGAACCTTGTATGGGGGCGAACCTTGTATGGGGGCGAACCTTGTATGGGGGCGAACCTAGTATGGGGGCGAACCTAGTATGGGGGCGAACCTAGTATGGGGGCGAACCTTGTATGGGGGCGAACCTAGTATGGGGGCGAACCTAGTATGGGGGCGAACCTAGTTTGGGGGCGAACCTAGTATGGGGGCGAACCTAGTATGGGGGCGAAGCTAGTATGGGGGCGAACCTAGTATGGGGGCGAACCTAGTATGGGGGCGAACCTTGTATGGGGGCGAACCTTGTATGGGGGCGAACCTTGTATGGGGGCGAACCTTGTATGGGGGCGAACCTAGTATGGGGGCGAACCTAGTATGGGGGCGAACCTAGTATGGGGGCGAACCTTGTATGGGGGCGAACCTAGTATGGGGGCGAACCTAGTATGGGGGCGAACCTAGTTTGGGGGCGAACCTAGTATGGGGGCGAACCTAGTATGGGGGCGAACATAGTATGGGGGCGAACCTAGTATGGGGGCGAACCTTGTATGGGGGCGAACCTTGTATGGGGGCGAACCTAGTATGGGGGCGAACCTAGTATGGGGGCGAACCTAGTATGGGGGCGAACCTAGTATGGGGGCGAACCTAGTATGGGGGCGAACCTAGTATGGGGGTGAACCTTGTATGGGGGTGAACCTTGTATGGGGGCGAACCTAGTATGGGGGCGAACCTAGTTTGGGGGCGAACCTAGTATGGGGGCGAACCTAGTATGGGGGCGAACATAGTATGGGGGCGAACCTAGTATGGGGGCGAACCTAGTATGGGGGCGAACCTAGTATGGGGGCGAACCTAGGCGAACCTAGTATGGGGGTGAACCTTGTATGGGGGCGAACCTTGTATGGGGGCGAACCTAGTTTGGGGGCGAACCTAGTTTGGGGGCGAACCTAGTATGGGGGCGAACCTAGTATGGGGGCGAACATAGTATGGGGGCGAACCTAGTATGGGGGCGAACCTAGTATGGGGGCGAACCTAGTATGGGGGCGAACATAGTATGGGGGCGAACCTAGTATGGGGGCGAACCTAGTATGGGGGCGAACCTAGTATGGGGGCGAACCTAGTATGGGGGCGAACCTAGTATGGGGGCGAACCTTGTATGGGGGCGAACCTAGTATGGGGGCGAACCTAGTATGGGGGCGAACCTAGTATGGGGGCGAACATAGTATGGGGGCGAACCTTGTATGGGGGCAAACCTAGTATAGTGGGGGCGAACCTAGTATGGGGGCGAACCTAGTATGGGGGCGAACCTAGTATGGGGGTGAACCTTGTATGGGGGCGAACCTTGTATGGGGGCGAACCTTGTATGGGGGCGAACCTAGTATGGGGGCGAACCTAGTATGGGGGCGAACATAGTATGGGGGCGAACCTTGTATGGGGGCGAACCTAGTATGGTGGGGGCGAACCTAGTATGGGGGCGAACCTAGTATGGGGGCGAACCTAGTATGGGGGTGAACCTTGTATGGGGGCGAACCTTGTATGGGGGCGAACCAAGTATGGGGGCGAACCTAGTTTGGGGGCGAACCTAGTTTGGGGGCGAACCTAGTATGGGGGCGAACCTAGTATGGGGGCGAACATAGTATGGGGGCGAACCTAGTATGGGGGCGAACCTAGTATGGGGGCGAACCTAGTATGGGGGCGAACATAGTATGGGGGCGAACCTAGTATGGGGGCGAACCTAGTATGGGGGCGAACCTAGTATGGGGGTGAACCTTGTATGGGGGCGAACCTTGTATGGGGGCGAACCTAGTATGGGGGCGAACCTAGTATGGGGGCGAACCTAGTATGGGGGCGAACCTAGTATGGGGGCGAACGAACCTTGTATGGGGGCGAACCTAGTATGGGGGCGAACCTAGTATGGGGGCGAACCTAGTATGGGGGCGAACATAGAATGGGGGCGAACCTAGTATGGGGGCGAACCTAGTATGGGGGCGAACCTAGTATGGGGGCGAACCTAGTATGGGGGCGAACCTAGTATGGGGGCGAACCTAGTATGGGGGTGAACCTTGTATGGGGGCGAACCTTGTATGGGGGCGAACCTTGTATGGGGGCGAACCTAGTATGGGGGCGAACCTAGTATGGGGGCGAACATAGTATGGGGGCGAACCTAGTATGGGGGCGAACCTAGTATGGGGGCGAACCTAGTATGTGGGCGAACCTAGTATGGGGGCGAACATAGTATGGGGGCGAACCTTGTATGGGGGCGAACCTAGTATGGGGGCGAACCTAGTATGGGGGCGAACCTAGTATGGGGGCGAACCTAGTATGGGGGTGAACCTTGTATGGGGGCGAACCTTGTATGGGGGCGAACCTAGTATGGGGGCGAACCTAGTATGGGGGCGAACCTAGTATGGGGGCGAACCTAGTTTGGGGGCGAACCTAGTTTGGGGGCGAACCTAGTATGGGGGCGAACCTAGTATGGGGGCGAACATAGTATGGGGGCGAACCTAGTATGGGGGCGAACCTAGTATGGGGGCGAACCTAGTATGGGGGCGAACATAGTATGGGGGCGAACCTAGTATGGGGGCGAACCTAGTCTAAGTTGGAAAAAACGCGTTTCGCGTTTTGTACGCTTTCGTATAAACGCTAGCGTCTAAACGCAAAACGCTGGCCGGGAGGGGTCTGGTACGCACAAGAATCCGCTTGCCCGGGCAGGAAAAAAAATTCCCCGGGCAGGTTAGATGCTTGACCAAGAGATGGAAACCGGAGCTGCTGTAGTAATCCATTACCTAACTGCTGCTGTAGTAGGTCATCGTCGAAGTGAAGAGGAAGAAATCGAACGCAAAGATTATTGAAGGGAAAAGCGGCCTGACATTGAAGGTGGGTTGGTAGAAGTTGGCAACAAATTGGATGGGGTGAAGGTGGGATGTGAGCGGTGGATAAGAGGGAATGATCCACCAACAATCTCGAAATTCAGATCTGAAGTTGCTTTAAACCAGGGTGCACATTCAACGCGGTTCGGCTTGAGATGTTGGGAAGGGGGTTAGGAGAAAAACAGTGATTGGCTCACGAGGGGCGACAAAAAAATGATTCCGCTAGAGCTTCGGGCATTTCGTAGGTGGCGGGAGGGGGTGAAATGGCGGGAGTGGGTGAAACCGAATGGCGGGAGGGATGAAACAGATTGGCGGGAGGGGGGGGAAACGAAATTGCGGGGGAGGGGGGAAACAAAATTGCGGGGGAGGGGGGAAACGAATTTCGACGGGGAGGGGGAAATGAAATTGCGGGGGCGTGGGGAAACGAAATTGCGGGGGAGGGGGGAAACGAATTTCGACTTGAAGGGGTTGAAAGCACACCTCGTAACCCACTCAGTCAAGGGATAACCTTTGATGCACATTCAGCTGAATGTGCACCCCGGTTTTTAGCAACGCGCGAACTCAGATCTGAATTTCGAGACTCAAATTTGAGTTCGCCAGATCGCGAACTCATCTGATTATTTTTTCCGGTCAGCCCGAGCCAAATTTGGCGAATTTTAGAAAAATCCGCAGCGTACGAATTTTAGATGCGTATAAACTCAATACGCAACTTGAAACTAGCGTTTTTTCCAACTTAGAACCTAGTATGGGGGCGAACCTAGTATGGGGGCGAACCTAGTATGGGGGCGAACATAGTATGGGGGCGAACCTAGTATGGGGGCGAACCTAGTATGGGGGCGAACCTAGTATGGGGGTGAACCTTGTATGGGGGCGAACCTAGTATGGGGGCGAACCTAGTATGGGGGCGAACCTAGTATGGGGGCGAACCTTGTATGGGGGCGAACCTTGTATGGGGGCGAACCTAGTTTGGGGGCGAACCTAGTATGGGGGCGAACCTAGTATGGGGGCGAACCTAGTATGGGGCGAACCTAGTATGGGGGCGAACCTAGTATGGGGGCGAACCTAGTATGGGGGCGAACCTAGTATGGGGGTGAACCTAGTATAGGGGTGAACCTTGTATGGGGGCGAACCTTGTGGGGGCGAACCTAGTATGGGGGCGAACCTAGTTTGGGGGCGAACCTAGTTTGGGGGCGAACCTAGTATGGGAGCGAACCTAGTATGGGGGCGAACCTAGTATGGGGGCGAACCTAGTATGGGGGCGAACCTAGTATGGGGGCGAACCTAGTATGGGGGCGAACCTAGTATGGGGGCGAACCTAGTATGGGGGCGAACCTAGTATGGGGGTGAACCTTGTATGGGGGCGAACCTAGTATGGGGGCGAAACTAGTTTGGGGGCGAACCTAGTATGGGGGCGAACATAGTATGGGGGCGAACCTAGTATGGGGGCGAACCTAGTATGGGGGCGAACATAGTATGGGGGCGAACCTAGTATGGGGGCGAACCTAGTATGGGGGCGAACCTAGTATGGGGGCGAACCTAGTATGGGGGCGAACCTAGTATGGGGGCGAACCTAGTATGGGGGCGAACATAGTATGGGGGCGAACCTAGTATGGGGGCGAACCTAGAATGGGGGCAAACCTAGTATGGGGGCGAACCTAGTATGGGGGCGAACCTAGTATGGGGGTGAACCTTGTATGGGGGCGAACCTTGTATGGGGGCGAACCTAGTATGGGGGCGA